TGGTTTCAAGCTAAGTACTAATGAATGTCAGACTGTTAACTTTAAGCCTTAAGCCTAAAGAAGATTTGTGTGAGCTGCTTCAGTTTCATGACTCCTGTAGTATTGATGGCATTGCTCTAGAAAGTAAAACGGCTGTTACCTATCTTGAATTAAGTTTTACTTCTGACTTTTGTTGGTTATCTTACAACTTGTTGACTTCAAAAAAACTAATTCGTTTAATATACTACATAAAGTAGCTGAAACTCTCTGTCATAAAGTCAGCTTTTACTCCTACGATTTGTTAATGCCTGTATTTTACCTATTCTTCATAATTGTTCCTGATCTAATAAAAAGGTACCGTTACATTGTATAGGGGTTTGAAAGCTGGCAGCAGAGAAATTACCGGTTTCGGGTCCAAGTGATTAACACTGCAGTTGATAGACACATTCATGCAGGCAACAATCATTTATCTGACACTGAGCATCCATTTTATTCACAGCTTTCTCCTTAAGTTGTTGTGAAAGAGCTTATATTTTTGTTGAAATATTACTTGTCGAGAATTCCACATTGTATCAAGATTTGTTTGGAATGAAGTGGCTATTATTATAATCAATAAAATAGTATCAAAAATATTGGGCAACGATTGAATAGTTGACATTAAGTATAGGTCATATTTGTATAGAGAGGTGTTAAAAAAATTGGCAATTGAATTACACTGCATAGAAATGGGTGGCAAAATGAACTGTTACGAAGCCAAGGTTCTACAAAAAAAATTTGGATCATAGCAAACGAAGAGTAATGGCTGATGTCCCATGTATATTGGGAAAAAAATCGAAACATTTTGAAGAGATAGGAAATCACTAATTAGCAAATAGCAAGTGCGACTCCTGAATCTACTTTCCTCACCACTTTCATCTTCACTGTCTTTGCATCAACATTAACCAATAATCTGGACTGATTTAATGCATTATTGTGATCATCACTATAGTTACAAACACCCATTTCCACTATATTCTGATACTTCAATGAAAAGTTTGCTAATACTAAATCATCAATTTGACTATCTGAGATAGCCGTGGTCTGGCAGACTTGTATAGATAATGGGTGATGATTGAAGGATCGAAAACCCCGTAGTCGCTGCTTTATATCCTGCCAAGGTCCAAATTTCCAAGTATCACCTAGTATCAATACTAAAGCAGCCTTAAATACCAACGAAAATGACACAACCACCTCATATGCACTTACACAAAAATTACTCAGTGACTTCAGTATCATCTGTGACCTTTTTGTTTCGTTCTTGCAATGAAGGTGAATATAAACAAGAATACATTAATACAATGCATAACAAGATATATTTACTCCAGAATAAGTAATTCCAAGGGTTGACATGATTACAGGCAATAGTTTTGCTCGCAATGTACTAAAATCAAATAATTTACCGCTGTGTGTAAATATTGATTACAAATATACTTATAATAAAGAAACATAATTCCACAGTGAATGATCAGCAATCATATTTTAGTAAGCAATGGTCATACAAACAGGATTGAACAAAAAGACTAAGTACGCGTTTTTGAATTCAGGTATGTATCTTTCGTGAATGACTACGAAGGCCATTCAAATAACTGAATTAAGCAATTAGATTGCTGTATTTTATGAAAATCTGTCTTCTCAGCCGAAATAAAGAAACTTAATTGGATATTTCAGTTGTTAATAGGATAGCCTTTGGAGTCAGTCATCTTTGATGTTTTAACCTTGATTATTTCTCTGAAGAAGCTCTAACCAGACTTCCGGGGGAAACGTAAGAATTACTGTATTTCAAATATGCTGAGACTTATACAGACAAAACGTATATCTAATGTGAACCTTTTACTCGGAGTTCAATATTTGCGATACTATCTGGTCAAATCTTGATCATAGTTCATGTAAAGGGTAGTTAACAGCCACTTAGGGTGACTTCATAAGAAAACCAGGTGTGTATTGAAATTATGAATAACGATAAAAATGGTAATTGGAATGAAGTTGATTAAACGAAAAACCAGAAGTATAACATAGGGGCAATAAGTGAAAGCAAAGAGCAAGTAGAGAAGAGAAAATAAAATGAGGCGACACTGCAATTACTATCACGGTGGAATCAAGCTACCATTTCCTTCTGAAAGAAGAGGTTTGATTTGACAAAAATCGCACAAGCCTCCCCACTGGTAAGCAATTTAATATTCTGCTGTCTACTGGTAATCTTAAAGGACTCTGGGGTACTAATATCATGTTTATAGTTCATCAAGTGTTTCGTTATGGAACTTCTCAGGGTTTTGTTTCCTGCACACTTCAACTATTTAGGTAGTTGCTCAACCATTGTAGTAGACAGACACCCCTCCGTATAACCTCTGTATTTGCTTCAGCAGACATTCAATGGGGTGCAGGCGCATCCGGCTGACGAGTCCCAAATGGGACGAAATGCGCTAACCACAACCAAGTAAAACTACCATGCTTAACAATCAGGCAATATCAATGCATCCGCATAGGAGCCCATTGGCCCATAGAGGTCGAACAATTCGATCCAGTAAAATAACGGAGAATTACAAACATATCCATATGTAGTCATCATGTTGTCTAAAGCCTCCAACCGTCGATTTTATTCGTGTGCTCAGTTTCATAGTTATTATTGAAAAGTCCTAGTCGTCTTGATGATGTGAACTTAAAGTGTTTCGTATGAAAAACGCATATTCCTATGACTACGTCCACTTCTTATTTTTGTAATTCATACTTTTAACACTCGATACTTTTCATCTGTTTTTAGTCGATGTGATTATGCTGCAGTTAACGGGAAGATCACGTATTTATTTCATGCAACCATTTAAATAAAACCAGGGTTCAATTGAGAAAATATTTCTTTTCACGTACGTCTTCCTCATTGACTCTACACTAATACATGCGTTTTGCAATCAGTAACAATGCCAGAAGAGTCTGTCGGACAGTGTTAACACTAAAAGTAGTTACCATAATAGTGTAGGTTGCAACGTTATGATGGGGTCCCAAGGACGAAGTGGTCCTAAGTTGGCGATTCTGGAACCCCAGGAGAAAGAACAGATAACCGCGATCTCCTGCTTTAACTGTGCTCAGAAAGCCATTTATTTCAGACCAGGACGAACTTCAGACATACAGAGAGACATTGTCTGATATCCACTGACCTCACCTCAGCGGTGGACATGGATAGACCATGCTGCTTTGCTCTCATTCATCGCTAGAAAAGTGTATGTGGAAGACTTCTGCTCTTTTTGGAGCGCGTGTTTGGATAGCAACCATGCGTTGGACCGAGTGCCTATATATCTGCGTCTCAATGGACGTAGGAAAACTTTAGTAACAAGACCATCGCGAGTGCACCTCAACAATGACAGGACTAAGAACACTTTCAGTGAGAAAATATTTTGACAGTTATTCGAATGGAATAATATCGAAAAGAAACTGCCGTAAAAACAGTGAAGAAGATTGTATCCGACTCTCAACCACTCTTTCCATTTTGATTCAATCTTATCATAGATGTTCCTACGAAGGTCTATCCACCTCCCATATGACTTCATAGGGATTGTTCTTATCACAATAGAATCCTTGGTAAATCTAGGGTAAGTAGATGACGTGGTCTTGTTACATGAAGACGCTAACAGGATGCAGCTTCTTCTGGACACATTGACTGGCAGTTTGAGAATATCTGGGATGCATTTCTCACCACCCAAATGCAAGTTGTTGCTCCAATATTGGTCTTCACCGGTGCCTTTTCTAACAATAGGTGATATGACTGAACGTGTTGACCACTTCACTTATCTGAGTAGTCGAATCAGCCCTAGTGGGTTAGTGGTAAACAAAATCTCTGTACGGATACAAAAGGCTTGCTAGGCCTTTGCTAAATTACGCCATCCATGGCATTGGCGAAATTTCCGATTGCCTCTTAGGGATCAAGTGCAAGTGGAAGTTCGCTCTGTTGTAACCCATGGCTGCGAAATATGGCCGCTAAAAACTGAGGTTACGAGATTTCAGATGTTCGACTGCCGTACTACAAGCCGTGCATTAGCAACGTGGAACTCACCGTCTACCCCGACGCGAAATGTTAGCCAATGTAGTTTAAAGCTGGATAAAGGCTAAAAACCACCAGACTAAAATATAGCATCAGTCAATGAAGTATTTCTTTGTTGGTATGAGCTGTGTAAAAAAATGTAACATTCACTTTTGGAGTCCGTGCAACAAGCGAAATCAGCAGCTTGGAACTGTAAGAGATATGGTTCAGAATCGATGGCAGTGGCGCAGACGCATCCACACATTATTTCATCCGGATATTTGTATCACAGTTCATTATTTGCATCACACCTCTCTTCCTCTTTTCTACTAGCTCAGTGACTTTATATGACTCTTGGTTACATTTTCCTTCCCTATTTTTTATCCTTATGCTTTCTACCTCCATGCGCTGAGGCCCGACGTAACAATTTGAACTGTTAATCAGTAATACTAGATTTTATCTTGATGCTGACTGACTGGTAGTCCTGTTCCACCACATCTTTATCATTTTTATCTTTTCTTCTTGGACTAATGACTTCATTGTCTTTGCTCTTTGTGACTTTCATCCTAATGTGATAATACAAGATGTGCAACTTGGACAGCTGCGTAGTTTCTCTGTCCCACACAAATGATTTCAGGTCCTTTTCGTATCTAAACTGTTCTCCATATGATTTGCTATTATTATTTGATAATAACTATAATTCATCTTTCTTCTTCTAAACAAAATATTACCGCCCCTTTTTAGAGCTCTACTGTGCGAAGACTTTTTTATGCCATCTACTCTATTCGCGTTGGTCAGGTTGTATTGTTCATAGTGACGCTAAATAAATTAAAAAGCAAACCAGTACACTAACTTCTTGGCATTTGGATGTTTGTATATTTATTAACGACTTTTCCCACAGACATGGTAGAAAAAATCAATAGTTTCATTAAAAAAGAAGGATAAAGAGACGTTTAGTTTCACTGTCACTTACTTCTAGTATAAGACTGGAGGTTAATTTTGTACGATCATCACGTTTATTGGCTAAAACTTGTTCAACATATTCAGTATTTGAATTTTCAGTAGAAAGACTATTAAGTTTTGTTGAATTCAAATTCGCTGTATGATTTGAAAAAGCATTGTCTGTAACTGACAGCATTTCTTGCATTGATGCTGAAAGTTAACCAAAAAAAGTAGATTCTTGTTTCAAAAGATCCTCATCTTTACAAGTGAGTATGAAAGAAAATTCTGTGATAATTATAAAACAGAGATATAACAGGATACTAGCAAGCATTATGACGTACAGTCTTGGCGGTTCACACATAAAATATCAGCTTACAGAGGTGTCAATAAAGAGATGACTGACTATTGTTGCTGAAGCATGATTTCAGGTAACGTCACCTATCACAAGCATGTGTTTCATTTCACGACTGAATTTGCCATCATGTTTGAAATGGCACATATGAAAATCTCCGCCCAATTGTAGATGCATGTCAGGAAAGTGAAAAAATTACCAGACTAAAGGTAAACTGTACGTTGAAAAGATTTAACTAGCATCCCATTTACCTACTTTAAAACAGACAAGGAACTCATCTCTCCACGTAAACGGTCGCCAATCAATACAATTCTGGGACTAATGTGAATGATAGGTTTTTAATGTGTGACTAGGATCATGGATCGTTAGGGTCACGATTCCCTAAGTTTCATTACTTAGGGAACCATCATTTAGTCAATCGATATTTCATTTGCTTCGACTCTCTGAAGTGCAATGCTCTCGTTAATATGTACTGTTTTGAATTCATTATTTTAGATGTTACTTAAAGATTGAATTTATTTACTTACCTTTTTTTGTAGTCTAGTGACTAGTGATGTGGTTGACTAGAAAAGCTATTAGGCAACCCGAGGGCTGGTATTGTAATCACAATCCAATAACTTTAGTTGCATATAGGTAGCGGAAAACATTCATTTACTGTCTTACCTTCCCTTCCTCTAATTTTATTTCCCTTGTTCGTTTTTATTCTTAATCCCATTTCCAGATGCAGCAATGTAAAATATTTCATTGTGAAACCAGGCTGCACCTTATTTCAATGTCAGTCAGTTATTTGATGGTCAGAAAAGAAGCATGATCCAAGCCCATTTCGTTTTGAACAACCACGTCAGATAACAGTCTTTGATTTCATTCCATTTCTTTATCATTAGGGATATTGTTTTCACATACTTTTCTCCCTTTTAGTTTTCACTAACTAGGTTAACGGCAATCCAGAAATTTGATCCCATAAAGATTAATGCTATATCCTAAAGTGTTTTTAACTGTCTATGTCTGTAGCTATATCTACTTTCAACACTAACTTGCATGGAACAAACAAGGTACATTATTATGCAATCAAATACTATTGATTTCAGGGTGATATTTATCACGGAATAATATCAGCTGGAGAAGTATTGAAAACCTACTATTTCGTTCTAGTATGGGACTCACCAGTGGTGGGCACTAAGACTGCAGCGGTGGTCGAGCTCAGGACCTTCAGATATCGCAGGGAGTACGTCATCATCGAGTCACTAGGTCGAAATTCAGTCTTCCACAGTTTCCTACAAAGTTCATCATGATAAAGTTTGTAGGAAATACTGTTCACTATGGTGTAAGGCTGTATGACATATTTGTAACTAAATAATAATTCGAAAGGTAACTGATTGAATTTATGAGAAAGCTTACTAAGAGCCATTCAAATAATAATCGATATACGTAGGATTTGGTATTACTGTGTAACGAACCAACTGGCTGCGTATCAACACCACAAAGCGTTCGCATGATAAAGAAGTCTTACAACTATGCTTATTTCAAAACATACCTGTCTGTTTACTACTCTAAGAGACAAAAGATAAAGGCGGATTGATGACCTACCAGAAGAACGTTGTCACCCAGATATATAAACGATGGTGTAAATCAACAATCTCGTAAAGGTTCCTGTAGCACTTCATGATTCACAACTACCCACAAACCTTGGTAGGTAGTCCAAGGGTGCGTGGAGTTGTGGCTCAGTGGTTTAGGGAGATGACTATCAACCACTTAGTAACAGGTTCGAGGCCCGCTCTATGTAACGAGGTTTGGGCATCCAGATAGTATCACTAGCCCTCACATAACAGGTGTGATTGATTGCTTACTGCACGAACATGCACAAGGTAGCCGAGTGCGTTTCTTTCGTTCGTAAGGGTTCGAACCTGCGACACACTGATTTATGGCAGTGTCTAAACCAGTGAGCCATAGTTTCACCTGAACAGAAGTGTATCATCCACTAAAATACATGTTTAAATCTGCTTATGAAGTACACGAAAATAATACATTCGCTAAAAATCATGATTATCTTATGTTCCGACAACCAGAATTTCCGTACACAAACAAAAAAATATGTACACTTGATAATTAGTTGACAATCAATAAGAAAATGCTTATTTATTTGAAAAGATAACAAAAACAAACCTAGCACTTCACTCCGTCTTAAATTCAATGAAGATGAATCAGCAAAAATACTTATATCTAACTGGTTTGAATTTATCATGTCTTCCATCCTTTCTCTGAATCTGGCAGATTTATTAATAGTTATTATTTCTTTGATCAGTTCAGTGGCATTCATTTCAGCAACTACTACATTGGACAGCAAATTTGAACGTTCTTCTTCTCGTCTACTTTGCATAGCAGATAGTTCATTATAAGACCGTAATTCTTCCTATGAGAATTAAAAGATAGGAAACGAAGGCAAACATGTAAAAGTATTACTATGCTAAGGTAAGAGTATAGTCTCAGACTTTTAGATACCCAAACCAGATTCAGAACTGCTGAAATGAATAAAATGAAACGCAACACAAATAAACTATCTCAAGAACAAAACCCGAAAATTCATGGCTCTACTTGGTTCAAACAAAGACTTCAGTGTCTTACGTAACTTGCAGATTCTGCAGTCTCGCTAAGATCAACAAGCCTTCTGTTCTAATGTTTAATCAGAGAATTAAGGACACTTAACCTAATTCGAGCTTGCTATCACGCGAATACTGATTCTACCGTTTGTGGGGAACAAGTTACACAGAATGCACAATTAAGCACGTTCATTTCATGATACGAGAAAATTTATCAACTTGGGTAGCAAAGGGTGACGTTAAATCGGTTGGAAAGTGTATACTAGTACATTTGCTTGATACAGAACACTACATAAGTGCTACCGCAGCTTTTACTGTGATACACCTTGTTGCAAAGACTTCACCATGTGTCACTCGTTTAAGCACTCTTTATATGGATAAAACTGGGGCTTCAAAATCAACTAGATTCAAGCTTTGTATTCAAAAAGAATACAACCAAGCTTTACTTTTTACGTGGCCTTCCAGTGACAATACTATTACTTCGTTCTCATACTTCTTTGCTTTTCATCTCCCGTTTTAAAACAATTATAGCCATATTGCCCTCTATTTTTACCTCTTATTCTAATAAACTTTTGGAATTCTGTTGAATTATCACTCCAATTACTATTGCTATCATATTATCCTGACCATTTCATATACTGATCACATCGTGATGGAATGTTCATTACATTTCAACATTTTTGGCCAATTCGCCTCATTTTCTGTACTAATCACTCAATAGACGAGTTAATACCTTGAACTTTATTACTAATTTCCCTTCTCTATATTGCACACATTCACAATGATTAATCATCAATAATTTGACAACTAAAATTTACATTCAACTAATCACTGCAGTTGGCATGTATATATATGCCATGTAATCATCATCATCAACATCTAATTACAATTTCGCATCCATTTTAAAATGTAAATTTGGCTGTTACTAAGTTAATTAAATTTGTTCCTTTGATATAGTACACATCACTATAGCATTATCAATTGAATATTAACAGCACAATTTTATTGCCCGTAGAAATACACTTGAATTTTATTATAGCTCTTCCGATTTCCAGTCTTTTGCTTCAGTGACAGGCGGGTTCGCTATTTCTATGGAATATACTTAGAATGATGGTTATTGTACTAACTGAGAAATGCTTCGACGAACAACGAATAGATGACTAGCTACTCCCTTCATCTAGATATATTAGCTTTTGTCCTAAAGTATTGTATGATTTTATATCGGTGTATACAGTGGGATAGCAGATTTTTTCCCTACATTATTGGATAATTAGTTAAATGATATCAATTAAGGTAAGTGAAATGAATGTGAATAAATATAGGAAAGAGAAAAGAACGCTTGGTAAAAACACATAAACTCTAAAGTGGTTATCGCAGAATAGCAGAAAACACTCTTTGATGTTCAATTTATAAACAGCTTACACGCACTGTAAATCAAGTCACTGAAAGGTGCACTGCGTATTCAGAAGAAGTTTGTCCCAATATATTATAATGACAATAGTAATCACTTTATTCCGAAAGATATTTCGACAATACTATGCAGAATTGCCAACATGTCATATAGCAATCAACAAGACAAGAATATAATGAATGCAGCTCAGTAACCACATTCGCATTCATTTTATACATATATAGTAACAGATTTCAGTGAAAATAGTATGTACGATTCATTTTTAAAAGCAGTAAAAGAGTGTATAAATATTGGATTTTCCTTATAGAATCATCATGTTTATATAAGAGTGACAGAGAAACATAACGTTGCTACAATGAACTGTAGACATGAAATTGAAGAACTGAGAATTCTACGAGAATACTACTGGCAATATATTATGGAAAATTGCTTAGAGAGACCAATTCGAAAGAAATTTCATGAAGCTGAATAACATATTAATGTCCATTTAACATACGTGTGAAAAATACGTTGCTAAGATTGACCTACCCAAAGTCCACTTACTAATTTACCTGTAACTATGAGATAAGGTCTGTACGTGGGATATCAAAATCAATCCCTTGACAGACCTAGAAATATCTCGTAATATGACCTGATCAAAGGCAGAGTAAATCAATTACATCATCTATTTTATGGCATGTGATGGATTCTGGCCATTCAATCTAGGATTTTAAATTCGGTATTATTTGAAAGATCCAAGCAAACATATCTAAATATTTGCGTATAAACTTTATATATGTTGCACAAACCTTTGGAGTAAGTTTAAAGGCCACCTTCGGAACTGCTGAGATACCCAATCATTTCTCTTTATTTTAAACATAACTACCTTTCCACCTTAAATGCCAAAAGTTGATTGATTATTTTAGCAGTTGGTAGCGTGGCCTTTAAAGTCGCTCAGCCTTAGCAATTCAAAGTTTGAAGTAAGAGCTGTGCATACAAAAATAATTTGTGAAGTCCTTTTCTTTACCGTGGTCATGACATGGTTAACGATGTACCGGTTAATTCACATTAGCTGATTGGTTCATACGTATTAGGTTTACAATGTGTTTGATAAGCTAAGTAACGCGACTTGTAATTTCCTGTTACTTTAGATCGAATTGACCGACCTCTGCTACTATGTAGGCTTTTGTACAGATGCCCCAATGTCGCATGAAGATTTACCATCCATTTTAATGTAATTTCTTGGTGGCGGCTAGCAGTGGAACCCAGAGCGGACATCTCGCCCTATTTAGGACTCGTCAGATAGATATTCAAGTATCTCAGTGAGTGATGTTTCCACTAAGACTCAAACTCACCATCCATCACTTCAAACAACAGAGTATGACACACCAAGCTATTAAATTACGACATTCATCTCTTGAGCAATAGGTATCCTTTTTTATTTACTGAAAATTTTAATTCTACATTGATTATATTGGATCCAATTGTTTTAATTTTTTTCAGGAGTCAGTCAGTAAGAAGTCCTCATTGGCTTAGGTTTTAGGATTGCAAGTACTTATCAGTAAGGTGCGTTTGTGGCAGAGTAAACTATTTTATTTACCGAACGGTTCAAAACTGCAGAATTTAGTTCTGAAGTGCTTCAGTGTCAAGTTATTTAAACTATGAGTGATCTCTTATAGGACTGGAATATTCAGAGACTTACGTCACAGATGCCAATCAAAACCCATCAACCATGTGCGAAATGAGATCACTAAGCAATCACACAGTAGTGAGTTAACGAAGTCTCTGAGGATGTTATTCGGTCAAATACCTGGGGAAAAGAAAGTATGTGACTGGTCTCAATGTTCAAACTCCAAGGTAAATAAGACTTACGAAATTAGTCCAGTTTTTCAGGTACCTCAAAAAGAAGTACCTTTCCACTGTAAGTGCAGTTAGGAGGCATCAGTAACTTTCACAACTCTAGTAACCCTGAAGTCTACTCTAATAATCACCAGTACCTTTTCTCTAACTTTTAGACTTCATCTCTTGATACTGATGAGTTTACACGATGCTCAGAGTCTTTTCGCTTTATAGTTCACATTAACGGTTCTACTTTACGAATCAGCAACACCTATCTACTGAGGCACTGCTCCAGATTACATGTTAGGACATTCATCTTCAACACTGTATCTATATTGGACAAAAGCTCTCATAAACCGAAATTCCAACATATGAAACCACATCAGAACAGTATGTAAGTAAATTGTTAATGGAAAATTTACACACAATGGTAATTTTTTCATTTCGGTAAACTTTCGAGTAAAATTACTGCCTGTGATCACAACAACAGTTATTCCTTTTTAGTCATTACAAATTGTGACTGATGTTGCGATCATAGGCAGTATTTTTGCTCGAAATATTACCGAAATATAAAAAAATTATCTTTAAGGTAGTATTCATTATGAAAGAATACCGGTTGGAGTACCACTGTAAGCCTGGGAGTAGTGAACAGCTGTTTTGTCCAAGTATGGGACCCCTCGGCAGTAGGCACTCACAACCCCACCAGGGATGGAACTTCGAACCTTAAGGTTTCTGAGTGAACGCGCTAACCATTCAACCACCAGGTCAGAGTTTAGTGGACCACGTTTCTTACTTCCGTCAATTCGCGATGCAGCGCAACTATATATATATATATATATATATATATATATATATATATATATATATATATATATATATAAAAGCTTTTTCCAGTTACTATCATCATGGGAAATTATTATTATAATTGGTACTTACTTCTGCTAACTGTGCAAGTATTTGTTTGTTTTGCTTAGCTTTAGCAGCTAATTCTTGTTGAGCCCAAAGACTTTCAAATGACTGACGTTCTAATTCTAAAGTTAACAACTCTTCTTTTCTCTTTCGATCACATTCTGAGTATGATGGAAGCTAACAAAAATGAGATAGATTAAATATTGACTAAATGGAAGCATAATATGCAATATAAATACTTGTCAAAGGATATGAAATAATAAAAGGCTATACATATAAGATGAAAACTGATTGAAACTGTGACCCTAAATACACAACTGTCATATGCTACTATTTCAGGCGTAAAACAGTCAAGAAAACAACGGCGGGCTGCCTGAACCTTGGGATACCAAAATTTTCCATCGAACATACATATCAATTTTTTCCGTTGAATTTGTTTTAATTATTTTAATCACGTCATCTGAACATATAATCTACTCTTGCACATTTCTAAAGTGTCTTCAACTCGCTGTTTCTCGAGTTAATAACGAAACACAGGGAAAATGTCACGTTATGTGAAAGTAGACTTTTCAGTACGCAAAAGTACATCATATTTCTATCCCTCGATACTTAGCTTGAGTTGTAGTTTCTTGTACTGGCTGAATAAACCGTTACTACCAAACTTACGCTCGCTTTTCTGTTGATTCTTTATTCTAGACCGGATGCTAATCCAAAACTAGCTGGCTGTTTCACATTATTGCCTTGAATATTGTTATTATCAACATCATTCAGATGCAATAACCATATAGTCTGTTCTTTGTTGAAAAATTACATGGGGAAAATTTTATTCTGCATCATACATAGTGTCCTGAATAAAAAAATTATTATTACTTAAGTTTTAAGATGAACGATAGTTTGAATTCAAAAGACCGTACAAAGAAAACAAACTAGACATATCTGACAATTTATTAGGAAGTAGTTCATTGTGAACTTCGATCTGAAGGAAACTTCGCAGTTTAACTGATGAAGCAGCTGTTCGTTTCTGTGACGTCGAGTTGCGCAGACGCACAGACAAATCAACGCAGAACCTGACACGGAAGTGCATTAACTGAACTTTATGTTTATGTGCTGTAGAAACTACTTTTAAGAATTTAACGTGTAATTCCCAAAAAAAAACAAAAAAGGTCAATCGTCAATACACCTATGATTTAGTGTATTCCTCAAAACTCGGCATCCGTATTGAAATATTCCCTCAAAAAAATTTGCACCTCAATTCTTCGTTTGATAAGTAACTAGAGTAAACAGTACAACTTGGTGAAAGTATAATTAAATAGGCTGTTTTTTAAATACATTTTTTGCAAATTTTCTAAACACGATCAAGTTGATTAGAACAACATGAGAAGTTGAGCAACGCATTCAATTCATTCATAATAGATAGTGGACAGACAATGCTTCACTATATGTTCTCATCTGAATAACCTTGTTATCATACTTTTTCTTAACGGTACGTCTGTAACAAAAAATATTGAACAGAAAATACCATAGTAACAATATTGAGAGTTAGAGCAGAAAATGAGAGGTAAAGAGAAGAGGTCTCACAAGATGTATTTGAAGAAGCGTTTATTAAAAGTCTGTTACAAACGGGAATTGTAGCGTGATCATCCTTGCTTTTGATACTAGACTGCAACTGATAGATTATCGGACTACTGAGTCACGGGACCCGTGGAACCCTGAGCAGAAAGTGGTCATACACCCACAGACAATAATCCAACAAACATCAACCAAAAGACTTCACGTAATGACCTTTCCTCCATTTAATCTGACCAGTTTCACAACTTGGAAACAATGAGTAGTATGGAAATCAATGGGACGATACGCCTTACAAATATACACGCTAACAAAGAAGTTGATGTCGCAATATCACCTCCAAAATGCTCTAGGTGCATACTGAGTACGCTCGTTTGAGATCATTAGATTGGTAGTACAGCTTATCTTTCCTGGCATCCGGACCGCAATTCGTAGAAGCACACACACAGAAAATGAAAAGAAATCGTATCCTTTACCAGACGCTTCTTGCTTTAACTGAACTTTCTAAACTGACAGCACACAGATAACCATTAATAAGGGGTTAAATCAATCAGTGGAGCTGTGACTTTAGCATTTATTGAAGAACAGACATCAGCCAGATCGGATGCCAATGTGTAAAGGTATCCAAAATAAACTCAAATAATTTTGTATTATTAGGTTTTCCGAAACACTTTACTGTGAACTTGTATCAAGGCCTATGAGATAGGGTATACTCACACACATTGATAGCAACGCTTTTTGGTGCCTAAGTCAACCTGCCTACTCTGTGGTTTGCATTAACATCCAAAAGTTGAAGGTAACAAACCTAAATATTATGCATATTCTCTGAACACTTGAGTCATATCGTACTGAGGACAGATATAAGATATCAGATGTTTGGTAACTGAAAACGATATTGGTCAACCTGAATATCAAAAATAGATGAACTAAAGAGAATTGAACGTAGAAATAATAGCTGAAACACAGTTCACATATAAATATGAAAATAATGGAATAAATGGCTGTGTAAAAGGCAATAACTAGCAGTGGAATTTAGAATGCACTTTTCGTTCTGTTAGGAAATCTTCAGCTGGACGTACCTGAATCCAAGTAGGTGCTAGTGGTCTAACTACAACTTAAGATATTGTAAGTAGGCTTAGCCACGAGAGAGTTGATAATACGCTTTGAAGTCTTCCTTATATTGTACTAAATTGGATTTAAGGAAAGATAGGATGTAAGTGCTTTTACAAAACCTATGATGGATTTCAAGTCATATAGTCCCTATCTCCAGCTACTAGCCTAGACTTTCAGACGTACTCTAATCTGAATGCTTCGAGTTTCTGTGATGACCTGTCACTTTCCAGACAGACATATGATGCATATATGAATGTGTATGAATGAAATGTGTGTGAATAAATATCTAGTCAAGTCGTGCAAAGTATTTGCACGTGTAACTATACTCCCACTGTTCATTCCTCTTTTGTACCATTATGACTAATAATATAATCCTATTGGTTACTCTTAAGATAATATTGAGTCTACACTATTGTGACCATGTTAATGTAAACAAAGGTATCTAATGTCATACGACCAAGCTTGATTTAACTGCTTGGTAGAACTACATTTATTGTACTGTTCGGAATATGAGTATTACAATTACAATCTTTCTTATTCCTCGGCCATTCTGATTTACTAATTCCAGTCAGTACTAAATGTGGATATTTAATTCATAATGCAATTTTTTTAGCACAACTTCGCATATAGTTGTCGTAAAAATTCAAACTTTATGGGTAAGTGCACTTGCTTTAATCTTACTTGGCTTCTTGCATCTCACTCTTACATAACATAGTCTCGATGTATACTACTGAACATCATGAGGAGTTAGAAACTCCTTACGCTGAACTGTGGATTTCACTACCCGGATTAAAATAACCTAAAAACCATATAGACATTTCGCTCGTCTAGCGCTGAACTCATAAGCCTCATACCCAGACGAATTCCGCTTAGACACATAGACCAAATTAGTACTGAATTTCTAGTTATGTAAACGATAATTTGAATGCAAAAGAATAAATTATAAGGCTAAGGGTATAGTGCTTCTCATTTTGTGTACTCACTTCATCAATACTATCTTTGTTATCCATAGGAAAGTTATGAACGTCCATACTGTCATGATTCTTAGCAATAAAGTTATATTCAACTCCTTCTTCTGAACAAAAATCAAAAGTAAAAGCCTGAAATTAAGTGAAGAAAAAACTCGAACTGACCCATGAAATTCAGTCCATTTTGAAAAAAAGGTGTATATGCTAAACAAGAGAAGAAAGTGAATCAAATATAGCTTTTTAATTCATTTAAGTACTTAGAGACTATTAGAAACAATCAACAGTGTTCCATATTTAAACCGAAATCATCTACGCATTCTCTTAGTTTACGACAGGTAATATTACATAATATTGGTCGGCTATAAATCGGTATTTAAACAGCTTGGCTCCATAAAAAGTATTATCTCAATTATATAGCCGATAAGATAAGCTTCAAGCGAAAAACGTGGCCAATACGTTTTCGGACCAACTTGATGAAAATTTGAGGAAGGCTTAAAGTGAATTTCAGTTATTCATATTGATCACCGGTAAATAATTCGCAGCTTGATACTGTCACTTGTATTAAACAAGAACTGCCTTTTGATTCTCACACGTTTACTAACGAAAGAAAATACGCTAGGATTTCCTTACTGAGTTTCACGTAAAAGTAGAAAACCATACTTTCAATGAAGTTAGTCCATTTAGCAAAGTTGTTCATGTCTTATTGACATACATAAATGAAGAGCTGTTTCGATCCCTAGACCAATAATATTACCTCAAATGTGTACTTTCATGCAAATCACACAGAATTATATATATATATATATATATATATATATATATATATATATATATATATATATATATATATAAAATTTTAAGGACCCCTACATTGGTTGTATTCCATACTGATTATTAGTACTTTCGAAATGCATTTATTCGCGCTTTTTTTCATGTGGATCACATTTTGTATAATCCGCTATTATTCTGATTGACTCCTGTGTCTGTTAATATATTACTCCGTCTCCTAGGGTCGCTTTGATTTTCATACATGGCGTCAGCTTTTCTTAGTACAAACCTACAGTTTGAGATGTTATACACTCAAATGAATATCAGTCTATTGATTTCTCTCTGTGGATGACTTACGTTGAATCGTCTTAACCCTCCGGCTCTCAGTCGTTAACTATTCGCGTTTCTTTCTCGTAACTTAGCTTCGCAACGCATATCTTCTCCCTTTATTTTATATCATCATCTGTGAAGAATAACATTTGCAATCCACTAGGCATAAACATCAAGTGGCTTGTTGATTGAAGTATATAAAGAGTTGATGAAACATGAAAATTCACTTTCAGGACATGAAAATACTTCGAACTTTATTACAAACGGTGTTACCATTTTGTGAAGAGTGATTAACAATCCATTTAAAATTAGGAAGTTCAGTTTGAAACGCTTTGCTTTTCATGAATCAAATAGTAACACTTTGTAGTAGCAAGCGGTGAGTTCACAAAACACGCATTCACTCTCTCACATGAGTCCATCTGCACTTCAGTGAATGTTCGGAATGCAATAGTATCAGTTTATATTTGTTCAACCGATGCAGTGTCATCCAAAATAAAGAATAAGAAAAATATACAATCCGAGGATATCTGTAACCTAAAATGATTGCTCTCACAATGACAAACTTATCTATATTCTGAATATATTTCGCAATAAAAAACAGTAAGAAATAAGTTATTGAGAGTTTTTGTGGCTATTGGTGAATTCCTAGATATATATATGGCCACTGGAGAAAAAGGTTATACAAATACATACTTATACATACCTATAGATAAATATCGCATAATTTCTGTCAGACCCAGCGCGCATACACCTTGAAAATATTTAAAAAAGAAAATGGATAATTAAATATGTGTAAACGTCTGCTTTTATATTACACTAGCGAGATGAAAATGTGCACAGAAGCTAGTAGCGATAATTTACAATAATTAGTAGTCGGGAAGTCTCGGTTCGAAGTTTAGGAGGTTAGATAATATCACCAACTCAAACAATAAGTACAACTTACTGTTTAACAAATCAACTTGTACACCACTCATCAGCTACAATAATTACTCTAAGCCAGGTTCAGATACTAGTCAGCGGTTTAATATAGGTTTGTAAGCTAGATTCAAGATACTACTAGTTCTTCACGTTCCAGGTGATGGAAAGTGTTTATATGCACAACAAAGTGTGATTGGTAGTTTCATAGTTACATATATGCGTGACAATTCTTTTTTAATTTGAGTAAATAAATACAACTGAGGGTAAAAGCAACCGGATAAACTTAGGTATATGCTATTTAAATCTCACCGCGTATGAAACAAAACAATTCCAGTCCTTTTTCTGAAAGCCAACTCCAAATTTCCTGATGAAACCAATTTAAAATAAGATAAATAAATCATGTCAAAAATCCATTCATAACCTCCTTGTGTAATTTTATTTGTTTAATAATTGAGATTGGCCCGGTTTTGAAAAGCCTTCAGAATGAAGCCGTGTATTGAGTGAGTTAGAAATTACCAGCCACATTAGTAGGTCTAAACATTAACAATTCAAATATATATATATATATATATATATATATATATATATATATATATATATATATAATCTATGCTGTAAACTGGTTACGTTAAGACATGACAGTTATCGTTCACATAACAGAAAAGGTAAATACCACTATGGTAAGGAAACTAATGAAGAAAATAAAAGGGAATTGGTCTTGATGAGAGGATAAGTGTTGCAAGAACACATGCCACACTGAAAAACTGAAGGTTGAAATTAACTAGATGCTACAATCTATGAGAGAGAAACTATGGTAATTACTACAATTACCAGTAAAAGCGAAAAGCTGGTATCCATGTAGATTATACCGGTTTGGGTGGTTTGGACATGTCTTACGAATGTCATCCCATAGGCTCCCACACCTGGAAATATTCGCCTGGAGTGAGACTGGTTGGTTCAAGCGAAGAGGTGGCTAGTATCTGATGTGGTTGCATGGGGTGAACAATATTTGCGTTAGGTTAGCATCTGTAGGTGCCTCATGGCTCTCTGGTCGGGATCCGAGAGATCATATTACTGTGGCTTGAGGCAATAGTGGACATGAGTAAGAGACAAAACCAGTAGCGACCATGGTGCAGCTTTCTTTTTTCTTCCATTACTTAAAAGTAAAATAAGAGTAATGAATGCTTCTTTGAACATACCATTAAGACTGTTTTTTTAATAACCCAGCTCTATTATTGCTGTACTTTTTTTCTTTTCTTCCTCATCATAATACTTTTATGTCCTCTTAATGTATGGTGCATCTTTTCATGCCAATGTTGTACAACGCTGGCGTTCTAAATTAAAAAAATCCCTTGGTCTGTTACAACTCTGCAAGTCAAACATCCCAGAAGGATGTATATGCTATGCTGTTAAAGACATATGATACAAGCATCAGTCGCATCAATCTACGAAATTTTATAAAATTAAGAGTAATAGGTCTTTCCCTCCTAAAATCTTGAATGTGACTATAAATAAAGGAGTTTTACCGTACATTAGAATAGCTTATCAACTACTAAACTCCAGAGACTACTTCGTAACAAGGTCAGTTATCGATAGTCCTGCTTGCTAACCAACTATACATGGAGTGGCATACGTCACTACCGAATGTGTTAGGAACTCTTTCATTTGTATTACCTGTGAGATAAATAAAATAAATTACCTGAAGGTGGGTAACAAACTTCACTATGTGAAAGAGTTAGTTCTTCCAAATTTTCTAAATAGCATAACTGTTTAGGTAGAGATAATAAAGGATTGTTTTTCAAATACAGTTTAGTCATTTTCTTTAACTTTCCAAAGTCAGATGGTAATCCATTAAGCCGATTATCTGTGTAGAAAAGAAATGAATAACAAATGAAGACGAAAAATGCATACACAGTATACTTACAAATTTTTTATCAAGTACTTTGTCATAAACACTCATATTGTAGCCTACTGGATAAAACAGACGACTTTCAGCAAATGGAGCCACAGTTGCGAAACCCGCTCAGTTTGTTGTTTCCCAGTCAAGAGGCATAAAAGCTCTTATACAATATCAATGACTTGTTTCCTAATATAAAAACATGCAGATGTTTATCGCCATGCACAGAAGTTATCACAGCAGAAGAGATGTTCCAGAAAATTAATAAAATAGTTTACAGGGAAAGCAGGAGATGATAGGTTGATGAAAATTCAAGTTACATTTAAATTACTTATATTTTGAAATATGTGCTAAAAACGTGGAGGGTTGAACAGACGAAAAGCAAAACTATGGATTTTACTTGACTATTACTCTCAAATTTCTGGAATCATTTCTTACGAAAATTAACTTGAGATGTTGTCTTACTTAATAAGGATATCACAACCAGGAGACTGATAGAACATCCAAGACCATGTATTTTTCTAGAAAAGTTCACAAATAACTTACCCTCAACATTCAGAAATATGAGATGAGAAAGAAACACTATTGTAGGGGGCAAATTTGATAGCAGATTTTTTGAAACATTTAGAACCTAAAGTGGGAAATAAATCATGATGTGACTAACTGAAAACTAATCTTACCTGTAAGCACTTTAGTTCATGAATATCACTAGGCAGTTGTCTAAATTCGTTAGAACTTATATCGAGGATGACAATATTTTGAAGAGATGATAGTTTACCGCCAGAATCAAGTTTTTGGATCGAATTATGTTGAAGGTATAATTTTGTCTTAAGCAAAACTTTGATAAGAGAGAATGTCCCATCCGGCACCTAAATATCAACCATAACATTTCAAGAAAAACAATCGTACCGTTGTCAATCCACATGATGACAAGTCATATATATCATCCGGGCGCTCTCGAGCCTAAATTATGGAACAAAACAATATAACACGAACTTTCTATATCTGTAACGTAAATTAATTCTACTATATATATATATATATATATATATATATATATATATATATATATATATATATGTATATATATGTATATATATATATATATATATATATATATATATATATGGTTCGACAGATATCGGAACGGAACAATATCACTCATTCAGAAGAAATCTGGTGTCATCTCCAGTCTACATAAAAACAGCGCTGAACATCGTAGCTGAATCTCAAAGAGCGATTAAAAACTTTCAGTGGACATCAGCTGCTTCTGAATTAATAGATCCACGCGAATGCATCCCTGAAGGCTCGAAGCACAATGAGGAAAGAATGCAACTCAAATATAGGATTATAAAATGTCTACGCAATGACCACTAACAGTGGTGAGCAGTGAAGGCTACAGAGATGGAAAAGGCAGTGGCGATAGGTGACCGTGGACAGTTACTCAGATTTATTGGGGAAACTGGGGTAAAAGGGTCGGTGGTTAGTGAAACTGCAGAGAAGAAACAGGGGTCTGTGATTTACTCGTAAGAGGAACGACTTGAATGATGGGGGGAAAACTTCGAGGAACGGTTCAACCGGTCTACAGGTTCCATTTAGTTGCCCGCTAAGCAGTTGGGTCCTAAGTGGAACGTCGAGATAGGACCTCCAACACTTATCGAAGTCGTAAAAGCTGTAGGCAATCTGAAACGAGGAAGAGTGGTAGTGTCAGGCGGACTAGTATTAGATGAGTCTAAGGACGGGGGTGGAGGATTGTTGTTCAAACTAACTGAAGTGCTAACTGCGGCATAGGAGTTAGATATGATCCCCTCTGACCGGTCTCAATCACTGACTGTCTAAGCCTTTACCAAAGGTGAGAAGTCCTCTTGTGACAACCACAGAGGACTCAGCCTGATGAATACTGTCTGATATTGTGAGTTCTATAGTCATTTGACGTGATTAGGGTTCAAGAACAACGAACACGAGAAAACCAGACAGGCCTCAGAACTAGTCGTGGGTCTATCGACAACATTCATACTGCACCAGGTTCTGATACACAGGCTTACCTAAAGATCCCCAACACTGGCCGTATTTCTTGACCAGGTAACATTCGACTCCATCGCTCACAAAGTCGTATGGCAGTGTCTCACTGAAAGGAGTGCTCAGTAAGTACATCGCACTGTTGAAGTCTCTGTACTTGAATGCGCGTGAACATTACACCCCATGCTGAATTGTGTACGTCCATTAGTGTCTGTCAAGTATGTCCACTCTCGCCATTCCTACCCAACTTTATCATAGACGTTCCTATGGAGGTCTATCCACCTCCCATATGACTTCATAGGGATAGTTCTTATCACAACAAAATCCTTGGTAAATCTAAAGTAAGTAGATGACGTGGTCCTGTCACGTGAAGACTAATAGGATGCGGCTTCTTCTGGACACACTGACTGGCAATTTGAGAATCTCTGGAATGCATTTCTCACCACCCAAATGCAAGTTATTGCTCCAGTACTTGTCTTCATCGGTGCCTTTTCTAACAATAGAAAGTGACATGATTGAGCATGTTGACCACTTCACTTACCTGAGAAGGCAAACTACCTCTAGCGGGTCAGCGACCGACAAAATCTCTTTACAGATACGAAAGGCTCGGTTAGGTTTCACCAAATCTCTCCACTTAGTGCACGGGCAAAATTTCCGACTGCCTCTTAAGGATCATGTGCATTAAGCTGAAGTCTGTTCTGTCTTACTACATGACCTTGAAACATGGCTATTTAAGGTAGAAGACATGTGAAGGCTTTAGGGATTCAACCACCAACACCGTAGCATAGGCCATTTTGTGTTGTAACCACGTCAGTGGTGTAAGAGTCAGGTATAAAGTATAGTGCAATAAATTCCGTCAATGACATTGTGAACCTTCATCGACTCAGATGGCTGGGGCATGCGTTACACACGTTTAGTCACCATCTGCCTCGTCACACAATGTTAGCTGAAGTGGGTTTAGGCTGAAAAATGGTTACGGGCAGCTAGACTAAAAAACGACACTAGTTACAGAAGTCTCCAACCATTCGTTTGATCCTTGTAGGGGGGAGAATAAACTTACTGGTTGTGGTCTGAGTGACATGAGAAACCTGTGGTTTGAGACTGTTGGGGACATGGCTTAAAATCTAACTCAATAGTGAGGATATATCTATACATTATTCTCATCTTATCTCACGCTGAATTCGGCAGTTTGTGATTTATTCCTGGTATTTTATCAATTTTTTATCACTTTGACTGCTTTCTTCTTTATTCCTCTGACTTTCATCCTAGTGTTTTCTCGCTTAATGTGCAGATGAGGTGTAACAACCTGGGTCCCTGCGCAGTAGTGCCTGGTCCTATGTTGATGTTGACTGATTAAGTTTAAAACAGATTTATCGGTTCATCGCGGCTATGTATTCGTAGGTCAGTATGATTAAAGAATGCAGGTTATGAAGGGGGGACTAAGCAAACACAACTATTGTGATAATTACTGAAACATAAGCTATGTCACAAGCTCCTCATAACCACTGGTGTACTACATTTTCATGATGTACACCGATAAATAATAAAGCCAATCAGTCAGCACCGTAATGGGGACTGCAGTTACTGAGTAATGGACGGAATAGCCCCACTTCATATGGTTACATCTAGATAACATACATATGCGAAAAATTGCGAAACAAGGAAAATAGTAAACAAAAGTAGCAAAAAGTCGTAAAGACAGAAGAAAAGTTTGAAGAGCTGATAATTCCGCAAGAAGACTATCACAACGACAACGTGTCAATTCATTTAAACCTCAAACATCGATTCTTTCCACATTTCCGACAGTCAAATCGCTCGTTTCGGATGTGACATGGACCACAACAGGAACGTCTACATTCAGATCCATGGCACGAACGAGAAGTCAGGTTGTCCATGGAATACTGCCACCGTTCAGTCTAGCGACTCTTAACATTTTATCAGAATAAACATACCACGTACAACATCATTCTTGACAGGAACAATAATTCTGAAAGCCGTAAAACGTAAAGTATAAACGCCGTACTCCGGCAAGGTGGTAAAGTCGTGTCTCACCAATGTAAACGACAAATTCAGCCCGTATTGATGACAACTAATGAACGAAATGAAGTGGGTAAAGAAGTAGATGAAACTTGGAAGCTTTGACTTTTCATCAAGGTAAACCAACTCCTGCCACTCACTTTTATGACACAGAAATTTAACTGGCAGTCATTTAGTTGGGTTCGGATTCAAAATCCACTGAGTTAAGCTCGAAAAGTCATCCGTAGTCGACCAGTCTAAACTCTAAATGAACACTGCCACGGATGCTGTGTAAGATGTAGATTTCTGACAACAACCAGGCCTGCGACAACAGATCTTAAATATATTCCATGATCTCACAGTCAACACTAGGCATTCTAACCTTTAATAATTTGAATCATTTCAACAAAAGAATATCAGCACACTAGTTTATTATCCTTATCCTAGATAGTTTTCTCCCCAAAAGTACACAAGAGCACAAAACGTAGTTTTTTATCTGCATTGCGTTGACATACCAAGTAAATTTTCTTCTCAAGCAATCGCTGAGACACGTTAAAGGATTTCTTCGACAACATAAAAACGACCTAGAAAGGAGCGCACGCATTTAAAACCCGCACGTAACCTTGATCGTACAAAATTAACAGAAAATTACAAAATACAAAGCTTTAGATTCCTTCTGATATGGTAATGATTGTTCTTCCAGTCGAATTCAATCATTTGAATGGGTCTTGTTTAGCCCTCACTATACTAAGCTACAGCCGGTGTCATACACCATTTGCGGATTCTGCATGTTTATTGATATTACCGAACAAGACTATGATAAGACTTCACCGGTTGCCCCATAAGCTACGTTACTGAAGGACTCACCTACAAAACATTTTTATTCCGGATTATTCAACACCACCTCAATGAGAAGAGATAATTCAGCGAAGAAAATTTTCTTTTTCAGTGATATCATTTTCTAAAGCTGTACAATCGTATTTGTATGTATCATAAATATGTAACAGTCTATTGTACAACAATAGGGTATAATTATATCATTAATTTAGTGCTGAAAAAACCGAAATCAAGAATGCAAAATGGTTGCGTAGTAAACCAAGACAGTAGAAATATCGAGGAAGGCAAGGACTTTGAAAGGTAAAAATTGTTAGTAGAGAAGAAATGCAAATATTGAGTGTCCACATGATAGATAAGTGTAAAAAATAGCCAGGAAAATCTTATTTTCTCTTCAGGAATTATCCTGGTGAGAACCTGACAGGCAGTTTGGTTTTCGGAAAACCGCGTGAGTCACTGCGATGGGCTGGCACGCATTTCTGTGATGTGCCACGTAACATAGGGCCTCGGGTTCGTGGCAGCTGTTCAACCGAGTTGCACAGCTTGGTTGCTTCTGAATCCTGGTTCTCGGTTTTATCGCAGACAGAATATACGCTTGAGACGGGTCTGCTACAGATATCCAGTATTTTATCTGCTGAGACTGCCGGGTCACCGAGTTGAACTGGCCGAGGTGTCACTAATACAGTTCTCACAGGCTATTGAAGTTTCGAGAAGAACAGTTCTCGAAAAGTGTCATTGTCGAATGTCCGTGTGCCCATAACTTCTAGCGTGTGCATGAGGACATCAGCGGCTGAGTTGCTGCCTAGATCGATGTCGCGAATTAATTCTTTTAGGCACTGGCTACCTGTAGGATGACTTTTCCTCAACAGTGCAGCTTTCGGAATCGCACGGAGATCACTTACTTCGGGACTAAACATATGGGCTGTAACATGCCTTTTTAACTTTCCTCGCAGTGAACGTATGACAGGAAGAAATATGGAGCGGGGATCTGCGAAAATCTGCCTCGGAATACGGAAACCGTGTTTTAGCATTACCTGGTCAGTATGACGAGAGGCGGAAAGTGTTCGTAATTGGCCCAGTATGGATAAGCCTAGGAGTGTGGTTGGACATAGAAAGAGGTCGCACATGGATACGTGAGTGTCATCAAAATGAAAACAACACACACAAAAAATATGGAACCGGCTCACCAATTTGAGATTTGTTCTAAGTTGGGATTTGTTATCACGTCGGGCTCACCAGTTTAGGAATTGTTCTGGTACAAACCCGACAGACACAGAGGCCAATCACCAATTATTCGAACTCGTTATATACCCACGAATTCGAGACCAAGAAAGAACATAATAGCGTAGTCGGATGGAATAGTATATTTGCGAGGTTGGACCAAGATACCAATGCGTTCCAACTAACTGGCTATAAGGTCTATTATGAACAGTGCAACGTGACACGACAGCGTGCCAAATGGTGAGGATGCTTGGTCGATTGCCTTCAGCTCAACGAGTCCAGTCAAACTGTGAAGGTCAGCATCAATGTTGAATCTCGTCGGGCCCTAGGCTATAGATTCTGAAGAAGTGCGTAACGCTTAAATTCTAAAGATCTGAAAATACTCCAACACACTGGTTCGCAAGACTTCCTTAGGACATTTTGGGGGTTGAATATCAATTTTCTGCTAGTCTGATAGTCGTTCACAGCCAGACGCCAGCAGATACTTTTCGGATCCTGGTACTAAATTTGTAGCATGCTGGACTTGAGGAGATTGCTTTACTATGCGATACGACTGCTCTGCCAGGATGTATCGAAAGGTTTGCATCTTGGAATACTTTTGTCTGTCATTTTTAGAAATATCTGAGCAGCCCGCCCGAACGCTTAGCCTCTTTAATGTGCATTTTAAATCATATTTGGGTAGAAATTCATTGGTCAGATCATGCGTTTGTCTTTCAGGTAAAGTTAGTTGGCAATGAAATACGTCTGGGCATCTGCCTCAACCTTACTTACTCAGGCGAGGGTAGGTTATGTTGAACTGGCAGGGTTCCGATTCTGGTAGATCACTGGGTGTATGATCGTGGAACATCGCACAGCTCACTGCCTGTTCTGCTTAAATACACCACTCCTGGGCCCATGAAGGAAGAGTTAGCTTACAGACAAGAAAGGATGCGAAAGCAAGGAGGAAAACCAGCTCGCAACTGATAGATTGTGAAGTGTACTTCTCTGTTAGATTTCCATGGCAATACTACTTGACTTTAACAAAGGAAATTGGATGTCAACCCAGGGTTCTGCAGTAGAGAGGGGCTGTGATCCTGATATCCCTGATCTTCTTGTAGCCAGGTTGTAGCTTTAGCCTTGAAAGGAAATTTCGATCAACAACCGAAGGACGGTAGATTTTAGCGAGAGGTTTAAATTCGTGATATTTTTGAATTACGACCATTACTCACTAATTTACCCGAGTGAAAAGGTGGACTTTGTGAGCAGTTGACTAATATATCGTAGCTTGTTAACCGGTATACTGTTTTGAAATGCCTCTCATCCGTACAGTGAGTGCGCACCTACCCCATCAGAAGTTCTCTAAACAATCCGACCTATGGACAAGAGAATGCTACTGAGGCAGTTTAAGCAGATGTTTGCCATGGGAATCCGGTGAATTATCCTTTGTTATATTTATTGTGACATTTGGGACTCCGTAACTGTTTTATGGATTTCGCATCGTTTAATTTGCGTGATGGGTTGGTAATATCACAGTTTAGGTTCATATAACAATTGTCATCATCACTGAGGAAGCAAGTAACTTTAACATCGAACTCCCAACCATTTCAGTGACGCTGAAACATGCAGTACAACTAGAAAGAACGTTTGCTGAAAACCAATATTAGTTAACCCCCATGTACATTCTATGCTTGAAGTTCTCCTGGAAGACATGCCAAACTGTTTGAAATTTCCAGTCAGCCGAACTACAGCTGTCTGTCTAGGTGATGCCGTCAAAGATGAGCTCAGTACTGCTAGTAGTCTACCTTGCAGAAACGGACGTTCAGTCTAGTTCTCATCTGGGTTTGTGACGTTAAGTAATGCGAAAGCAAGAGTGCTGACGGCTTCTAATAAGTCACCTTTATTACAACCATGGTTTATGGATGACATCATTTATGGAAACGTGAACCGGTGACTTAGAATCACCCTGCAAAGAATAACAGTTGCAACAAAGTTATGCTTCCCCTTCACCACTTGATTGGCACTGAGTTCACCCAGTAGGGACAGATTACTTAAGACACCTCTTCTGTGTCCATTCAGCAGTCCAAATGATCCTGCGAAGTTCGCAGCCTCATGTGTTCGCTAACGTGGCTCGTTAGGAACTGATACATATTTACGCGGTTTCTTTCATTTGCTCTGAATCGGTTTATGTGTGTACTGGGATATCCATTACTATTCGAAAAGTAGTAATGCACACGTATGTCGAATTTGGTCAGCGAATTTGTCTAGATTCCTGATTTAAATCACCTCTCGTTGACGAAACGGGGAATAAACCAAATCCATACTTTAGTTATAGGAAGAAAGAAGGCTAAACGATCGAGAATATGCAGTCTTAGTGGAAATTTGTCATCGACTGCTTCAAGATCCGTTACTAAATGCAATGGAGTAAGTGCCTCAACCAGTAGTTTAGATGCGGGAGAGATTATTTTCCGCCTACCAGTCACCAGAGCCTCAGAAATAGTCCCCGGAACGGATGCAAGACTCGAAGAAAACCAAAATAGCTTTGCCACTATTGGGGTAACCTTAGATGGTACCCAAAGGACGCCTGGGAAATTATCCTCATTAGAGTGTTTGTTCGGCCAAACTAATACCCTATCCAGTGACCACTTGCAGAAGTCCAGCAGCCTAGTAGATCTCACCGCTACTGAGGAAATAAAGCGACTAGCACAAACCCAGCAAGCCATGATGTGTAATGTACCCGAAAAACATGCATCTAGAAGCCGCTACACGTAAGCTCCTAAAGGCTTGAGGTATGGCGAGTGTACCTAGCGATTATTAACTTTTAAACAAAAATGTTTTCACAAGACAGTTTCCCCATCGTCTACAAGTTTCTAACGTCATTTGACACCAAAACCTTTGGTAAACTGCAGAATAGCATTACAGCTAACTGTAATTTCAAAGAACTTGCTGTTGTGCTAGGTGGAACACCGTGTCGGCAGGAATCCACCCTGAGAATGGTTCATTCTCTCCTTCCAAATTTTAGAGGCACCTGAAGGCATGGAACGAGCGCTTGACGGCAAAAAAGTATGTCGTCATCCGCCAGCATCACCTGAGAAACAGGCGCTTGTGTACCTCGATGTGACTCCTACATTAAACTTGGTAGAGACCGAGAATTCCACTCCGAAGACTGGCCATCCTGGACAAAGTACAGAGAGTAACCCATCAAAGGATAAGCTTGAGGTCAGAAGACCCTCAGGTGAAAGTCAGGAGGTTAAATTTAATACGAACATCAGGTAGAGCAACTTTAAGCTCGTTTTGTCTAACAGAGGTGAAGAATATTTCGTTGTCGAATGGGTTGCAACACAAATGCGCACCATCAAGTAACATCAACCATTGCCCTAAAGCAAAAAGCTCTTAACTCACATGCCTGGTCACAACTCAGATTTTGATGGGGGCATTATAATAATAATAATATTTATCCCTGAATATACAGGCACACACCATTTTTACAGGTATGAATAGGTTTGTATACAAATCGCGTTCATCTTCATGCAAGGTAATCTGAATTCCCACCCGTTTTCACTATAAGATAAAAGTGCTGCATGTTCATATAATGG